AGCACAACCTCCCTTCCTTCCTTCTTGTGTGGGAGCACAACCTCCCTTCCTTCCTTCTTGTGTGGGAGCACAACCTCCCTTCCTTCCTTCTTGTGTGGGAGCACAACCTCCCTTCCTTCCTTCTTGTGTGGGAGCACAACCTCCCTTCCTTCCTTCTTGTGTGGGAGCACAACCTCCCTTCCTTCCTTCTTGTGTGGGAGCACAACCTCCTTTCCTTCTTAATATGGACCACAACCGCCCTCCTTCCCTAGCATGACGGACCACCTCACACACACACACACACACACACACACACACACACACACACACACACACACACACACACACACACACCTGTCACCTCACCTGGTTCACACTGCGTAAAGCATGCAACACAAACAAAACAACCAATGTAACACAAACAAAACAACCAATGCAACACAAACAAAACAACCAATGCAACACAAACAAAACAACCAATGTAACACAAACAGGACAAACAATTTCACATATAAACTACGTTAAAAAATAGATATATGACTTTGAATTCTGGGAACAATCTCAGCAGCGAAACTTCATGAGTCTGCGAGGAAAGGAAGGAAGGAAGGAAGGAAGGAAGGAAGGAAGGAAGGAAGGAAGGAAGGAAGGAAGACGGTGCAGCTCCTATATTTACATCAGTCTTGTTTATCTCCTCGCTTACTAAAGGTTAATTATGGTATGTTAATTAAGGTAATTTAATTAAGGTAGGTTCCTGTGGCCAACTTCCCGAAATTTAGATTTTGTACCCCGTCTACAGTTGTGTGTGTGTGTGTGTGTGTGTGTGTACTCACCTATATGTGGTTGCAGGGGTCGATTCATAGCTCCTGGCCCCGCCTCTTCACTGGTCGATACTAATTCACTCTCTCCCTGCTCCATGATATTTGTCATACCTCTTCTTAAAGCTATTTATGGAACTTGCTTCCACTACTTCACTCTCCAGATTATTCCAGTTCCTGACAACTCTAAGACTAAAGAAATACTTCCTAACATCCCTATGACTCATCTGGGTTTTCAGTTTCCCATTGTGTCCCCGTGTTTCTGTATCCCATCTCTGAAACATTCGATCCTTGTCCACCTTGTCAATGCCTCTTAGTATTTTAAACGTTGTTATCAAGTCCTCTTTATCCCTCCTATCCTCTAGCGTCATCAGGTTGAGTTCCCTTAACCTCTCCTCATAAGACATACCCCTCAGTTCCGGGACTAATCGTGTTGCAAATTTTTGCACTTGCTCCAATTTCGTGACGTGTTTGACTAAGTGAGGGTTCCATACTGGCGCTGCATATTCCAGTATAGGTCTTACGTACACTGTGTACAATGTCGTGAATGACACCTTACTCAGATGTCTAAACGCCAATCTTAGGTTTGCCAATCTCCCATATGCTGCAGCAGTTATTTGATTGATGTGTGTGTGTGTGTGTGTGTGTGTGTGTGTGTGTGTGTGTGTGTGTGTGTGTGTGTGTGTATGTGTGTGCACTCGCCTACTTGTGCTTTCAAGGGGTCGAGTTACAGTTCCTGGCCCCTGTGTGTGTTTTACACACCATCAATCACTCACAATTTCTAATTCCCCTCTCACCTCCCCCATCCCCTCGGTCCATGTGGTGTGGGACACTATGGTGACGATCCAGCTGGTGTGGGAGACTGTAGTGACGGTCCACTTGGTGTGTAACACTGTAGTGACGGTCCACCAGGTTTGGGACACTGTGGTGAAGGTCCACCTGGTGTGGGACACTTTAGTCACGGTCTACCAGGTATGGGACACTGTAGTGACGGTCCACCAGGTATGGGACACTGTACTAACAGTCCACCAGATATGGGACACTGTAGTGACGGTCCACCATGTATGGGACACTGTAGTGACGGTTCACCAGGTATGGAACACTGTAGTGACGGTCCACCACGTATGGGACACTTCTAGTGACGGTCCACCAGGTATGGGACACTGTAGTGACGGTCCACCAGGTATGGGATACTGTAGTGACGGTCCACCAGGTATGGGACACTGTAGAGACGGTTCACCTGGTGACACTTTAGTGACGGTCCACCTGATGTGGGACACTGTAATGACGGTCAACCAGGCATGGTACACTGTAGTGACGGTCCACCAGATATGGGACACTGTAATGACGGTCCACCAGATGTGGGACTGCGGTGACGGTCCACCAGGTGTGGGACACTGCAATGAAGGTCCACCTGGTGTGTGACACTGTGGTGGCGGTCCACCTGGTGTGGGACACTGTAGTAACGGTCCACCTGGTTTGTGACACTGTGGTGACGGTCCACCAGGTGTGGGACACTGTAGTGACGGTCCACATGGTGTGGGACACTGTAGTGATGGTCCACCAGATGTGGGACACAGTAGTGACGGTCCACCAGGTATGGGACACTGTAGTGATGGTCCACCAGATGTGGGACACAGTAGTGACGGTCCACCAGGTATGGGACACTGTAGTGATGGTCCACCAGGTATGGGACACTTCTAGTGACGGTCCACCAGGTATGGGACACTGTAGTGACGGTCCACCAGGTATGGGCACTGTAGTGACGGTCCACCTGGTATGGGACACTGTAGTGATCGTCCACCTGGTGACACTGTAGTGACGATCCACTTGGTGACACTGTAGGGACGGTCCACCTGGTAACACTGTAAAGACGGTCCACCTGGTATGGGACACTGTAGTGACAGTCCACCTTGTGTGGGACACTTTAGTGGCGGTCCACCTGGTGACACTGTAGTGACTGTCCACCTGGTGACACTGTAGTGACGGTCCACCTGGTGACACTGTAGTGACGGTCCACCTGGTGACGCTGTAGTGACTCTCCACCTGATGTGGGACACTGTAGTGACGGTCCACCTGTTACGGGACACTGTAGTGATCGCCCACCTGGTGACACTGTAGTGACGATCCACCTGGTGACACTGTAGTGATGGTCAACCTGATAACACTGTAGAGACGGTCCACCTGATGTGGGACACTGTAGTGACGGTTCATCAGGTATGAGACATTGTAGTGACGGTCCACCAGAAGTGGGACACTGAGATGACGGTCCACCTGGTGTGGGACACTGTGGTGACGATCCACCAGGTGTGAGACACTACAGTGACAGTCCACGTGGTGACACTGTAGTGACGATCCACTTGGTGACACTGTAGTGACGGTCCACCTTGTATGGGACACTGGCTCTATGCTGACCACTGTGTACTTTCCGCATAGTTCACACACACCTGATCCACACAGTTCACACACACCTGATCCACACAGTTCACTCACACCTGATCCACACAGTTCACACACACCTGATCCACACAGTTCACTCACACCTGATCCACACAGTTCACTCACACCTGACCCACACAGTTCACTCACACCTGATCCACACAGTTCACTCACACCTGATCCACACAGTTCACTCACACCTGATCCACACAGTTCACTCACACCTGACCCACACAGTTCACTCACACCTGATCCACACAGTTCACACACACCTGATCCACACAGTTCACTCACACCTGATCCACACAGTTCACTCACACCTGACCCACACAGTTCACTCACACCTGATCCACACAGTTCACTCACACCTGATCCACACAGTTCACTCACACCTGATCCACACAGTTCACTCACACCTGACCCACACAGTTCACTCACACCTGATCCACACAGTTCACTCACACCTGACCCACACAGTTCACTCACACCTGATCCACACAGTTCACTCACACCTGATCCACATAGTTCACACACACCTGATCCACACAGTTCACTCACACCTGATCCACATAGTTCACACACACCTGATCCACACAGTTCACTCACACCTGATCCACACAGTTCACACACACACACCTTATCCACACAGTTCACTCACACATCTGATCCACACAGTTCACACACACACACATCTGATCCACACAGTTCACACACACACATCTGATCCACACAGTTCACACACACACACACATCTGATCCACACAATTCCACACACACACACACACATCTGATCCACACAATTCACACACACACCACACACATCTGATCCACACAGTTCACACACACACACCTGATCCACACAGTTTACTCAAACACACCTGATCCACACAGTTCACACACACACACACACACACACATCTGATCCACACAGTTTACTCAAACACATCTGATCCACACAGTTCACACACACACAACACACATCTGATCCACACAGTTCAAACAACACACACACACACCTGATCCACACAGTTCACACACACACACACACACCTGATCCACACAGTTCACTCACACACATCTGATCCACACAGTTCACACACACACACCTGATCCACACAGTTCACACACACACACACACACACACACCACACACACACACACACCACACACACACACACACATCTGATCCACACAGTTCACACACACACACACCTGAATCCACACAGTCACTCACACACATCTGATCCACACAGTTCACACACACACACCTGATCCACACAGTTCACACACACACACACACACACACACTGATCCACACATTTCACACACACACATCTGATCCACACAGTTCACACACACACACCTGATCCACACATTTCACACACACACACCTGATCCACACAGTTCACACACACACACCTGATCCACACAGTTCACACACACACACCTGATCCACACAGTTCACACTCACACACACACACACACACACACACACACACACACACACACACACACCACACACACACACACACACACACACACACACACACACACTTCGCTCACATGGCTCGGAAAAAACAATTTTTGACTATTAGAAAAACTTTTGGAGGGGGGGAACCACAACTCTTTTGGCAGGAAACAAATCACAACTTTTGGCGGGGTAAAAAAAACAACAACTATTGGCGGGAAAAACAAATAATGGTGGGAAACACCTCCCTCCCCTTAAACACACACACACACACACACACACACACTCGCAGTACCTACCAGTAATAATACAGACTAGCAGAAGTAGCGTCCACACGGCACTGCAGTTCAAAACTTAATGAGCCTCAGGTGGCTCCGCCAGACCTACATTACACCTTTAGCCCACATTCGTCGCCCCGCCAAGCAGTCAACCCCTCCTCCGTGACGTGTTGGTGGCACCGACCCCGCTAACCCGTGGCGTCATCGATTTTCTGCCCCGCATTTTGGGTGGAACACTTGTGGGGGTGTGCGTCACGACTTTCTGCAGCGCGGTTGGGTTTGGGGGACATGGGAGCGGTGACGTCACTAACTTTCTGCAACGCGATTTGCTGAGAGATGAGCTCAGGCACTGGGTCGCTTGACGTCATTAGCACAAGCCCCCACCCCCTTTACCCGTATTTCCGTCTCAAAACATTTGGTCCCGCCCACATACAGGGTCCCCCCCATGCAGGGAGGGCCCCCCCCATGCTACAGGGGCCCCCCCACGCTACAGGGGAAACCCCCCCACTGCTACAGGAGATCCCGCCCCCTCTACAGTTCCACCCACGTACAGGAGGGGCCCCGCCCCCTGCTACCGGGGGGCCCCCCCCCACTGCTAACCGGGGGACCTGCCCACTGTTTCAAAGGGGGCCATGCCCACTGCTACAGGGGGTTCCCCACTGCACAGGAGGTCGCCCCCTGCTACAGGACCCGCCCACTTCTACAGGAGGTTTCCCCCCACTGCTACGGGGCCTCGCCCCCCTGCCAGGAGGCCCGCCTATGCTACGAGGCCCCCCCCCCTGCTAAAGGCCTCCCCACTGCTACAGGAGGCCTCGCCCCCGTCAGGAGGGCCCCCCCCCCTGCTACAGGCCCCGCCCCTGCTACAGGAGGCCCGCCCACTGCTCAGGAGGGTTTCCGCCCACCTACAGGGGCCTCGCCCACTGCTACAGGAGCCCCGCCCACTGTACAGGAGGCCTCGCCCACAGCAACAGGAGGCCTCACCCACCTGCTACAGGAGTTCCGCCCACTGCTACAGGAGGGCCTCGCCCACTCTACAGGAGGCCCCGCCCATTGGCTTACAGGAGGCCTCGCCCACTGCTACAGAGCCTCGCCCACGCTACAGGAGGTCCCGCCCACTGCTACAGGAGGCCTCCGCCACTGCTACAGGAGGCCTCGCCCACTGCTACAGGAGGTTCCGCCCACTGCTACAGGAGACCTCGCCCACTGCTACAGGAGGCCCTGCCCACTGCTACAGGAGGCCCCGCCCACTGCTACAGGAGGCCTCGCCCACTGCTACAGGAGGCCTCGCCCACTGCTACAGGAGGCCCCGCCCACTGCTACAGGAGGCCTCGCCCACTGCTACAGGAGGCCTCGCCCACTGCTACAGGAGGTTCCGCCCACTGCTACAGGAGGCCTCGCCCACTGCTACAGGAGGCCCCGCCCACTGCTACAGGAGGCCTCGCCCACTGCTACAGGAGGCCTCACCCACTGCTACAGGAGGTTCCGCCCACTGCTACAGGAGGCCTCGCCCACTGCTACAGGAGGCCCCGCCCATTCCTACAGGAGGCCTCGCCCACTGCTACAGGAGGCCTCGCCCACTGCTACAGGAGGCCCCGCCCACTGCTACAGGAGGCCTCGCCCACTGCTACAGGAGGCCTCGCCCACTGCTACAGGAGGCCCCCGGGCCCCCAAAGCTAAAAGGAGGGGCCCCCGGGCCCCTGCTACAGGAGGCCTCGCCCACTGCTACAGGAGGCCTCGCCCACTGCTACAGGAGGTTCCGCCCACTGCTACAGGTCCCACCCACTGCTACAGGAGGCCCCACCCACTGCTACCGGAGGCCCCACCCACTGCTACCGGAGGCCCTGCCCACTGTTACAGGAGGCCATGCTCACTGCTACAGGAGGTCTCGCCCACTGCTACAGGAGGTCCCTCCCATTGCTACAGGAGGCCCTGCCCACTGTTACAGGAGGCCATGCCCACTGCTACAGGAGGTCCCTCCCATTGCTACAGGAGGTTCCGCACACTGCTACAGGAGGCCTCGCCCACTGCTACAGGAGGTTCCGCCCACTGCTACAGGTCAACAGCATCACTTATGTTAACTATAAATGTTAACAACCATCACTGGTGTTAGCAACCATCACTGTTAACAACCATCACTGTTGTTAACAACCATCACTGTTGCTAACAACCATCACTGTTGTTAACAACAATCACTGTTGTTAACAACCATCACTGTTAACACTCATCATTGTTAACAACCATCACTGTCGTTAACAACCATCACTGTTGTTAACAACCATCACTGTTGTTAACAACCATCACTGTTGTTAACAACCCCCCACTTGTTAACAACCCTCACTTGTTAACAACCATCACTGTCGTTAACAACCATCACTGTTGTTAACAACCATCACTGTTGTTAACAACAATCACTGTTGTTAACACCCATCACTGTTAACAACCATCACTGTCGTTAACAACCATCACTGTCGTTAACAACCATCACTGTTTTAAAACCCAAACATTGTTAACAAACCACACGTTTGTTAACAACCATCACTGTTGTTAACAACCATCACTGCTGTTAACAACCATCACTGTTGTTAACAACCATCACTGTTGTTAACAACCATCACTGTGTTAACAACCATCACTGTTGTTAACAACCATCACTGTAGACAACCATCACTGTTAACAACCATCACTGTTGTTAACAACCATCACTATTGTTAACAACCATCACTGTTAACAACCATCACTGTTAACAACCATCACTGGTATTAACAACCATCACTGGTGTTAACAACCATCACTGGTGTTAACAACCATCAATGGTGTTAACAACCATCACTGGGGTTAACAAAACCCTCAAATGGTGTTAACAATCATCAATGGTGTTAACAACCATCACTGGTTTTTAACAACCAAGGTCGGGGTTAACAACCATCACTGGTGTTAACAACCATCAATGGTGTTAACAATCATCACTGGTGTTAACAACCATCAATGGTGTTAACAACCATCACTGGTGTTAACAACCATCAATGGTGTTAACAACCATCAATGGTGTTAACAACCATCACTGGTGTTAACAACCCTCAATGGTGTTAACCATCAATGGTGTTAACAACCATCACTGGTGTTAACAACCATTAGTGGTGTTAACAACCATCACTGGTGTTAACAACCATCAATGGTGTTAACAATCATCACTGGTGTTAACAACCATCACTGGTGTTAACCATCACTGGTGTTAACAACCATCACTGGTGTTAACAACCACACTGGTGGGTTAACCATCACTGGTGTTAAACAACCATCACTGGTGTTAACAACCATCACTGGTGTTAACCATCACTGGTGTTAACAACCATCACTGGTGTTAACAACCATCACTGGTGTTAACAACCATCACTGGTGTTAACAACCATCAATGGTGTTAACAACCATCAATGGTGTTAACAACCATCAATGGTGTTAACAACCATCACTGGTGTTAACAACCATCAATGGTGTTAACAACCATCACTGGTGTTAACAACCATCACTGGTGTTAACGACCATCACTGGTGTTAACAACCATCACTGGTGTTAACAACCATCAATGGTGTTAACAACCTTTAATGGTGTTAACAACCATCACTGGTGTTTTTCAACCTCAATGGTGTTAACAGCCATCAATGGTGTTAACCAAACACTGCTGTTAACAACCATCACTGCTGTTAACAAAACCCTCAATGGTGTTAACAACCATCAATGGTGTTAACAACCATCAATGGTGTTAACAACCATCAATGGTGTTAACAACCATCAATGGTGTTAACAACCATCAATAGTTTCAACTACAACTACATCACTACCACCATTTATTGTTGCTCGTTTGCGATTATTGCAACACACACGCGCGCGCACACACACACACACACACACACAAACAAACACGCACACACACGCACACACACACACACACACACACACACACACACACACACACACACACACACACACACACACACACACACACACACACATGCACACACACACGCACACACATGCACACACACGCACACACATGCTACCAAGAGCCACTGGAAAAAAAACAAGGGAGAAAATGACCACGTAAAGACAGGAACCAGAGTCACAGAGGGAGAGGTAATGGGAGGAGGAAAGGGCAAAATCAGTGTTTATCCATGGGCTTCAGGAGAGAGAGGAAAGGACACACACTGAAAGACGGCAGGCAGAAAGAAACGAGATTGAGAACATCAATGCAGAAATAGGTGAAGAAGACATGGACGAGACTGTAAATTTTCAGAAAATAGGGGAGTACCTGAAGGGAAGAAAACGACCGAGCAAGCTGATTCTCAGGACAGAAACAGTGCGGAACAGGATCCTCCAAGAGAAACCACGGTTGAAGTACTCGGCAGAGTACAAGAGGGTGTTCCTAGATAGAGACAGAACACAAACAGAACGACAGCAGCTGAGGGAGAGGACAAAAAAGCGAAAGGAGCTAGGAAATGAGACAAGGAGGGAACCAGCAGAGGTCAATCAGAGCAGGAGAGAGCATCAAGGGCAAGCACACACAGAACCTTCCTCAGAACCCCACAACCTATCACACCATCCCAACACTGCAATCTACAATCCATACTCACAGCTTCCACCCAACACTCAGTTATAGAATCCCACAGTGAGCTACCAGGTCTCCCACCCTCACAAGCCCCCCAAACCACAGTGTTGGAAAGTAAACTGAAGGTATGGTACACAAACGCTGATGGAATAACAAATAAGTGGGAGGAGTGGCACGAAAGAGTCAAAGAGGCATCACCGGACATCACAGCTCTCACAGAAACCAATCTTACAGGTAAGATAACAGATGCGCGCGTGCACACACACACACACACACACACACATACTCGCACAAACACACGTGCACACACACACACATGCACACACACACACATGTCAGTAAGTGGAATAGTTTGGGAAGCGATGTAGTGGAGGCAGGATCCATACATAGCTTTAAGCAGAGGTACGATAAAGCTCACGGCTCAGGGAGAGTGACCTAGTAGCGATCAGTGAAGAGGCGGGGCCAGGAGCTCGGACTCGACCCCCGCAACCTCAACTAGGTGAGTACAACT